TTCGGAGAACAAAGTAAACCTTCTTCTCAGGAAATTATGAGGATGGCTGAGGGGCTCAATCTTGAGAAAGAAGTTGTGAGAGTTTGGTTTTGCAACAGAAGACAAAGGGAAAAAAGAGTGAAGACAAGTTTACATCAGAACACCTTTAATTCTATTATCAAGGAGCATCACGAATGCCGGTAAAGCTTTTCCATGCATAGATCTGGATTTCTGTTTTGCTTTTTGTAAATATTGTAAATACTATGTTGTTAAAAAAAAATCAGTAAACCACTTGTTTCTCTTACAAGCTAGCCAGCTTCAGAGGTAGTGTGTTCTGGAAGACCTGATTTTATTGTAAGAGTTTGGAAACAAATTAAATGCTACTCCATATATTTAAAGAGTTGGAGGTCTCTGCTTAACTGCAAGCAACCTATTATGCATTTTTCGACTAGAAATGCTTTCCAAGTTGCCCAAGTACTTGCAGTTTCCCTGTGCTGTGCCTTTCTTGCCTCTGCAGTACATTTAATGATTAATGGAGAACCCCGTGTATAGGTACCCTAGGCACCAGGAAACAAAGCCTTTGTGAAGAAAGTTATGAAGCTTGGTATCAGCAGCTACAGTTTTGAAAGAACTGTGCCTCTGCATGTCCCTGCACGTGTTAACCCCCCACCCCACGCTAACTAGCTACCTGTGCTAACTAACCTTTATGAGATTGGAAGCCATGAGGCACATCGCATGCCATCTCCAGCAGTGAACACTGAGCTCACCAAACAGCACCGGTGAGAAATTAGACCTTCAAAGAAGAGTGTGAATAAGTGACCTTAAACAAGCCGAGTATCTGGTTAGGGCCAAGGATGGGACATACCCGTCACATCTGGTGGGACAACCACTAGGTCTGAGAGCCAGGTAGCAAAACGCTAGCTGAAGAACTGCCTTTCCCCAGGACACCTGATCACAACAGCTGTACACCTCCGAGTGAATCCTTTCAGGTAAATGCCACGAGAAATGCGCCATAATTGCTGTCGTTATTTATGGTACAGTAAGAGGTGTCAACACCGTTCCTACTGCGTGCTCCTATCTCCGTGTACCACTTGACTGCTTTAAACGGGTGCCAAGTCGAAGTGACTGGTTTTTGTGCTTGTTATCAAAAGTAATTCTTGTTAATTTTATTATATGCTTTAAAGTTTTATTTGGATAGGCTTAGCTATAAAAATTGGGATACGCTTTACCTTAAGACTTTGTGACTTGAGAGGGAAAAACCTAGAAAATTATCAGTTTTATTACTTTGAGCTTTCTCTGCATTGTATTTTTTTCTGATTAAATCCATGTGTTTACATATTTACACCAGAGATAGTGTGTTAGGCTAAAAAAAGGTGGCCCTGGTGCTCTGAAATAAGTATCCACACAAAGCATTTAGTGCACTACACATTCACACTTTCTTACACCCCACTAATTGAAAATAATCCCTTGTTTGTCATCCTCTAGCCTAAAAAGTAATTGGGGAAAACCAAACCAAAACAAAACAGTGCCAGAGCTCCACCTATCAGAAAGGCAGGCACTGAGAAACTGAATTTAATGACTCTAGTACTCACCAGGGATAGATTATCTAGCCATCTCATCAGCCTTGCTCATTGTTATTAGAGCAGCCCATTACCATATATGTATTTCTGACTGTTTTCCAAGCACTGAAATTGAGTACACGCAAGTAGTAATAGCCAGATATTTTATTTTTTCCATAAAGCAGACCTGATGATTTAGAAAATGTCTAGCTAATAGGCCCACAGAAGGCAAAAGGAGTTTAATGTTCAAGACCACTTAGAAGCAGTGTGTACAAGTGCTCCCTCCCTACTGTACATTAAATTATCTCTGAAACATATTACAGTGACCATAGGCATATCCAGCTATGGAAATCAGGCTCCTAGATTTTAAAAAGTGTATTTTTATGGATGAATGCATTGCTATAATTTAGCCCTTAATTTAGAAGAACACTTCAGTTTAATAACTTAAAGGGGAGAAATTGCGCTATGTACTCTCTTCAGGCTGTTCTCATCACAAGCTGTAGCCTTTATCCACCTCGTGTATTGACAGATCATAAACTTCCCAAAAGGATGAAAGATAAATACAGTTGAGAAGATTAGCACTCAGTGAAGGTGGTGGTATGCATTTGTGTACCTTTCACGTTAGGCGATCTAATGTTATGTGTATTGAAACTACTATCTGATATATCTACATGTTATTTATATTCTAAATTATTTTCTTAATTATAAGAGGCTTCCTAGAAATGCTATAAGCCTGTACTTCACAAACCCCCCATCCAATAAAGTGTTATTATACATTTGGTATTCCAGGTAATGGTCTGTAGTTCTGTTTTGGTAACACTTTTTTTTAGTTGTGTATCATGCTGATATACATATTCAATTTAGCATGCTGTAATAGTTAATTCAGTATCAGACTTACCGTAACATTGTGACTTCCAGTCTTACAAGTGAAGGCTAATTGCAGAAGCATAGCAAAATAAAATGAAAGGTGACACATGATGCCATTTTCTTGCAAAAGAATGATAAAAGGCTAAGTGGAAGAAGCAGCCACCTTTTAAACACATCTAGCTGTTGCCACAGAAATACAAACACATTAGAGCAGAATTGTTTAAAGAAAAAAAAGCTGGATGAAATCAGTTTTAATGTGCTGCAGCTGCAGCCTTTAGGCCTAGAGGACGTGGCAATTCTTTTTTTTTCTGTAGGAACAACTTACTGGGTAACGGCCATCAATCACACTTGATTGGGGAAAAAGCCCTAGGTAAGACTTCTCAGTAGCTTTATGGACCTGCAAGAGTTCAGCTCACCATTTGACTAACATGGCTTGCGCAATGTTTCTTTGAGATGTTTGTGGAGTTTTTCCCACTCTTACTTTTCCCAGTAACTTTTGGCAGGGTGTTAAAACTAGAATTGAGGACAAGACATTATGACAGCGTATAAATCTGGCTCACCTGTCTCCAAAGTACTGTGTAGCATTCTGTCCCACTCATCTGAAGGATACAACAGAGCTAGAAAAGGCCCTTATAGAGGCAAGGATGATGATCAAAGGTAAGATGAATAACTTCAAACTAAACTACTGTCTCTCTTCTATATTAAATGTGTGCATTGAATGCTACAGGGATTACTGAAGTATGAGCTGTACTGAAAGGCTGGATGGAGGCAGGCTGCTCACCGTCTTGCCCAATGTAGGAACTAGGTGTAATTATGAAGCTGGAAAGAAGCTTAAGAAAAAACAGCAGTGGTGGTTCTTAATGTGATGGAGGAAAAAAAACTGTGGAACTCCCCTACTAAAAAATGTGAGTGCCAGAAGTTTGTTTATATGGACAAGTTCACAGATGAGAAAGCTACTCAAAGCTGTAGTATATAGAAGAACTTAGATAAGGCTCTAGAAGTGCTCTAAATTGAAAATAGTTAAGGTGTTGGAAGAGTATTTGGGGGGGAAGCATCATCTATTTTTATCTTGTTTTCATATTTTCTTGGGCATTTCTTATGGGCCTTTGTGGAGTAGGATTCTGGGTGAGATGAACCTTGGTTTGCCCCAGTAGAGCCATTCTTAGGTGAGTGGAAAATTGCATTGTTCTTGGATGCAGGACTTTCAGATTCAGTAGCTATTAAGGTGTCAGCAAGGATAAAGGAGTTTAAGGCTTGAATGTTTTGTTTTGTTTTTTTTTAAGTCTACTAAGTGATTTAAAAGGAATTAATTTCTAAGCAGGGGGATGAAATTTTGTTATTGACAGCTACAACATAATTACTATAATTGAAATAAATATAAGCAAGTCTGCAAACCTACAATACTTCTCACTATGCTACTGAAAGATTTTCATACAGATTAGAGCTGCAGGACTTAAAAAGTAACTGTTAACAGAAACGCCAGCTAGATAGTGCCAGTAGCCCTAGTTCAGCAGTTTTACTGATACCAAAAAGCAATGCTTTTATTCCTCTTCATCAAAGACCCCCAGATAGAGAAAAGAACTCATAATAGAATTATGCCCAATTTTGATAGTCATTAAAAGGACGAAGTGCACACTTAATTCAGAAAGGACATAAGCCTTGGTGTTCAATCAAAATACAATCAATCAGTAACATTTTATACCTAACCAATTTCACATTATGATTTCTCCTTCAATGCTTAAGAGCAGTACTTTGGCACCCAGTTACAGGCAGATGGGAACGCAAACTTGTTTACTGAATGTTGAGTTTATGTCAAAAGCCCACAAGCAACTACAACAAAATATGATACTGTTTTATACCTTAGGTCAAAGGAAAATTTTTCAGAGCTAACAGGATTCCAAAGAAAGCTCACTAGGAGACAGAAGTGTAAGACTAACCCTACAGAGGACAAAGTCATTGTGGAATAAAAAGCTTTTTTATTAGATTTTTACAAAATAACTTGTAAAAAAAAATTTCACCTTGTATCGGATATATGCAATATATAAACTTACACATTCCTACTCACTGGCTCATAGATTCATAGTTTGTCTATTACTTCCTTCAAAGAGAAAGAACACCTGCATTTTTATGTAAAAAAAAACCCCAAAAAACAGATGAAGGCTCACCTATGTTTCTTCCTCCTCTGCTGACTTCAATCCTAAAAAGCAGATGGTGTGACAACAGTAGATTCATAGGGGTTATGGTTTCCTGCTACACGTTCTCTAGCAGCAAGGTCTCTTTATGAAGTTTGTTCCCTCACAGTTATCCTGGTTTCACTCTTGGGAGATATTTTGCTTTTCTCTTTTTAAAGCCAAGATGATTTTGTTGTTTCTGTTCATTGAACAGCCCCACTAAATCAGCACAACTGACAGGCAAACAATCTCCAGCAGAGTAAGGGCTGAGGACCCTCACACAATCTGGGAAGTTGTAACTGCGAACTGCATTCTCACACTTTGTCATTTATTTAAAATATCAACAGTTATTATTTCATCAGCCCAATGCATTCCACTTAAAGCTAGACTCATGCTGATCCAGTTCAGAGACCATAGAAAAACCTTCACAGAACCAGAACACTTTTATTATAGTGTTTAGACAAGTAGTTATCAGGTATCATCCAAAACTGTTCTCAAAACTAGAATTTAGATTTAAATTATCAATGTGATCAGTTGCATCTTAGTAAACAATACCATGATGCACAGTTATCTTTCATTAAGAAATACTGTAAAATATATACAAACATTGTTTCAGGCAAGTGTCCTTTTTGTAAGTGCGCAAGCTACATTTCTGAACAAGTGCATTTCTGAGCTTCAGCACTGAGTCCCATCAAGTGTACACAGAGGTCTCACCATAGTGTTTTGTGAAACCATCTTAATTACCTTTCAAAGACTCATTCTGAAAAAAATCACAAAGGTACAAGATTTATATACATAAAGGCACAGCAATTCTGTTGAAACCAGCTATGTTACAGTACAGAGTTCAATCAGTGCCTTTCATGCAACAAAGTTCACTAACAAATTTAAATCCTCTTCCAAGTAAAATTAACTGCAAAAGGACTGTATCCTCTTTTGGTAAAAAGAATAACCAGCTATTGTTTAATCAACTCAAAGTTACTACAGGAACCTGAAAGAAATAAATAAAATGTTTCTTCTTTGTCTAAATTAGCTCAACTTTCAAGGCTATTTCTCATCAAAAGAAAATAGTTTCCAACTAAGAGCAAAAGTGAAGTTTCATTTGTGGTAATATAACAGACTAAGAATGTTTCTATAGCAATAGTTTTATAAAAATTATATATATTATATAGGTGCTGTCCTAGAGGGCATCACCACCAGCTACAGAATAGCCAATTCTAAAGATAGATTAGGAATGGAGATAGAAGAAAACTTTGAATTCAGAGGACAAATTCACATCAGGTATAAATGAATTTATCATTAGAACTACATCCCTGGTTGGTCCAGCGCTCAAAAAGACTCCATGCAATGGACACACCAAGTGTACTTCTCCCTGTAATTGACTCAAAATCTTCTCCCCTTCTTCCCCCAGTACCAACTTCAGGTCGTAATTTCCGAAGCTTCAGAATTTTCCTAGACATCAGTTGCATCGAAAGAGTATTTGCACTTTTTACATCTGTCTGCAGCTGAATAATTAGAAGGCAGACTGTTTATTGCCATCAAGTTAATCAACTCCCAAAGCTTTGAGCTGTCGTTCAATCTCTTCATCTGATATAGTAGCAGATTTTGATGTTGATGCAGATGGTAAGCCTCTGGCAGCTGATGGAGCTTTGGCCATCTAGAAGAGGACAAGTTTTCTTCAGTCAAAATAATGCACATTATGACAAGCTGACTTCTAGAATAAGACTGTAAAATAAAGGCTGCTAAAATAAACGATTTTTAAAAAGGGAATGAAGGTGAAGAAGCACATAAACTGAGTAAAACTAGCCATACCTTTCCAGAGATTTCAATTCCTATCTCATCAAGCACTTGGTTAACAATATCTTGGCTTTCTTCCTCTTCATCAGAAGCATCAAAAATATCATCCAGAGTATCATTAACTTAGAATAAAGAAAAAAAAAAAATCCACAATGCATTAAGCAAAAAGGTTACTAAAATAATCTAGTACCGTCTTTCTACCCTCTCAGAATGTAGTAGTAATACCACTGTATAAGCTACCAACAGAAAGCACCTATACACCTATATATTGGAAAGGCTTTCTTACCTCTGCCTTGCAAAGCCTGTGAGCACAGCTAGAGCAACACCAGGCATGACTGCTTTTATAACAATGTTTAGTTTCACCAAAATAACTCAGTTGCTCCATCTCCCCCCTACTAGATTTTAACATTTCTTAAAAACACCTTCTACAGTTCCTTAAAGATTCCAATCCTCTTCCTCCTCCAAGTAAGTTTTGAAATTGTTAACTACGCAGCAATACAGTTTTGTACAGTTAAGGTGTTCATATCTTGCTCAATAATATTGTTTGGAGTCTGTGCTACTTACTATGGCCAACACAGTGGGAAGGGACTGGGATAGGAAGGAGACTGTGTGAGCGACTCCAGGAAGTTTGGTATTATTTAGCTGACAGTGAACAGATGCAATTGGGAACAAGAAACTTGCCACCCCCCCAAGAATTCTGTGGCTTGAAATAAAAAAGGAGACAAAACCATCCCATACCACCACGTACATAAAGCTGTGATTATCAACAGTATCTAAATTCCCAGATGAAAAAGCCTATAAGCTACAGAAAGGGCAATTTTTCAAGTCCCTCTACCAGTTACGTCAGCAAGGTTTTGAACTGGTCTCAAACGCCCTTCCCTCTCAATATGTTCTTTCTAGAAGTATGACGGGCGTTTTGCATGAAGATGAGAATTCTAGATTTAGTATCTAGAGCTACTAAAAAGCCTAAGACTCAGCCTCCCTGCTCAGACATGCATTATTTTGTTTGGTCTTCATTTTTGCTGTCTATCTCATTAATTGCAGAAATAAAACTTCAAGCATTGGTATTTCTAGACTAGTTCTACCCTTCCAAGAGCACTGTGGGCTGCAAACAGCTGTTCCCTGCAGTGCAGAACTTACTCATTTCTTCAGTCATTTCCATCTTCATGTTTTCCTTCTGGAAATTCTGCATAGTTTGTAGTGTCTTTTGTGGATCCATTTTCTTATTAACTGCTTGCATTGTCTATTAATATTGAAAAAACCCTTCATCATACAATGAGACATTAGTAAATACCAATATAAACATTAAGAAGGAATAAGACTTTTCTAATTAAAAAACTTTCAGTCCAAATTTCACTTTGACTCTTTGTATTCTATGGGAACTGTAGATATACAACAGATCAATAATACAGTCTGCACCTAGTAAGAAATATTGCTATCTACTACCCTAATAGATATGCTTTTAAATGTATGCGCCTTTCTTGCACCATGACCCTTCTTCTGGCCTTATATTAGGAAAAATCTGCCTGATCTAAATTAGAAGAATTGGATAACATTTCCTAACTTATAGGCTATACACTTTAAAGAGGTAAGTGGCTGCAGGTTTTTTATTCAGTAAGGAACATGTATTTGAACCACCACTAGAGGACAGCCATTAAATTGCAATTGTTTCTCTATGTTATAACTTAATGGAAAAACTACTTTTCTCTGAAAGGCAAATATTGAAGTGTTCAGGAGTACATATTAGCTTAGGCTGATCCTTTGTAATGGGTAGAGAACTTTTTGTGACAGTGTAATAAACTTCACCTGTTTTACTACAAGTATGCAGCACTGCCTTTTCAGGTATTGGTATTTAATACTTTCTTCTTTCCTAAGCAGCAAGCTATTGCATCTCTCATGGGATGTCAAAACTTAAATACAAACATGAGCAATTCAAACAAAGTCTAACCGTCTTTGAGATGGTAAAAGTATTTGTTAATTGAAAGGGATGCTATCAAGCTACTGCAGCTACTACTGGCTTCCTAAAAGCTTTTCTGCCTTCATGTCTGAGTTTAAAGTGACAATGTATTATGCTTCTAATGTTACCTCATAGTCACATTATTTGAAGTTAAAAAGTTGTTCTGAACTTAGAGGGTGTTGGTTCTTTAGAATTCTTTTACAAAAGTTACAGGCAGACTTCAAGAATATTTACACTAAACTGATACAGAGTTTATATATCTTCAAACAATAAGGATCAGATGCATGACTAAAAGAAACAAGTAAATATTAATTTGACTTTACTATGTCCAAAATTAGTACCATACATGCTGAAAAGTACATAGAAAAGACCGAAAGCTTCGCATTCATATGATGCAACTGATGCCATATAGTTTTCACTGATGATTGGATGAGATTAATAATAGTTTAAGCTTCAAAATGAATTACAGTACTTTTTTTTTTAAAGCTTCCCATGTTGATAAGGCAGCATAATCACTTTAAAAGTGATCAAAAGAATTTAACACCTTCCTCCAATAGTGTTGCACAAACTAGTCCATAGAAGTACCTGCTGTGTTTCAAAAACCATCACTTTCCTGGATGATGGTTAATTTATTTTTTATTTTTGGGGGGTTTTTTCGACCGACTTAACCTCCATAATTAGGCTAATGACACTTTGGTTTTGAGAAATTTAATCCAAGGCATCTCATAGATAAAAACAAGTCAACCATGTAATAATTAAAAAGCAGGACCAACTTGTTCACATGGAACACTGTTGTAAGAATACCAATTAAGCTGTTTAACTTGTCTGGTTGTACAGTCAGACCAGCCTCTGCTTTGCTGGTTAGTCACAGAGGATGGAAAGTTTGCTACAGAGCCACAACTCTGTATCACTGAATGGCTGGTATCTGTCAACATGCTGTTTCTAAAAGCCATCCCACAGAAAAGCCTTAGCAGTAACTACTTTTTGCACTGAGTTGCATTGCATTTCTGTGTTTAACTGGCACGTGACTGGATTTAACTTGGACTGGGATAAAAGCACACCTTGTCTACGATGGTGCGTGCTAATTCTGTTTCCTACATCTCAAGGTGAACAATCCTCCTCGCCAAAAGCAAACTCCCTATTTATCAATTCAGGGAAATAGTGGAAGTTCACAACTAACTTGGATAACTGAGATCTTTCAGACACTTTTATGAGATGAGATTTGTGAGAAAACTTAATGTAATACTGTTTCCTTAGATCATGGAGAGTGAGAATGACAGGGAGCCCCAGATTAGATTTCCTTAGGAACTTAAGATCTGAAGCAATAACCTACTTTTAGCACAAGCCATAAAGCTACTGTGACACACTGCTTTGATTTCTAGATGATGCATGCCCTACTTTTCCCCAATAAAAATAGCTTGTGATGAGATATACAGGCAAGACACTGTAGCAGCATGGTTTGGGGTTTTCTGATGTACTGAAAGAGTTCTTCCACTGGCACTAGAGTTTATTTTTATCGTGCAAATATTTGACAGATGTTTAGCCCAAGAAAATATGCTTAGTTAGGTGCTAACTGGCAGGATTGACTAGACAAAAATTTCATAATATGAATCAAATTACATTTCCCTACCATATCCTCAACACCATTTGAGATATTAAGCAGTAAGTTTTATCCCTTCAATTATCTTATACAAAATAACACAGTTTAACTTTTGCAACCATATGCTGCATTTTAATGTAAGAGAATGTCCTGTAATGCCTTACTTTTGCTGTAGTTGACATAGCTCCTGCCATCTTCATCTGAGAGTTCATGACCTTTGTTTGAGTCGACATAGAAGTAACTTTAGAGCTAACAGCATATGTTCGATTTTTCTGCTTCCGCAGTTGTACAAGCTGTTTTGCTAGCACTTTACAGGCTTCTTTGTTACCAGTCTTAGCCATTTTCTTTATTTCTAGTTCCTGTTAAAAAAGGCGTAAGATTAATTCTACAGAATTTTCATTCTGCACTAACAATTAAATTACAAAAGTTAACTATCCTCTTGATTACTTTTTTGTAAGACACTTAAAGTTATATAAATAGTCTTCCTTGCTTTTCTACCAAGGCTATTTAGTAGAAGAAATGCAATGCTGTTATGATTTGACCAGAAAAGAACAGAGCAAAACTGAATTATAGTATGGTAACACACAATTCCCCAAAAGACTTAAACTTCTGCCTAATGTCACATTCACTTACATGTGCACGTTCAATTCCGTATCTAGCTAGGGAGTAACATGAAATTATTATGTCCAGCCAATTATTAGTGCCATGACTCCCCGATTTCTTGTATTCATGGGCAATCAAGCCACATAACCCATGGAAGAAATGGGGAGTTCATAGGTTCTTTTTAACACTTTTTCAGCCTTGAGAGAATCTCATAAACTTTGGGGGAAAGAAGTATATCAAGTTAGATGACCAATAATTATAGAGTGTTTGCCCACATAACTTAGCTGGACTTAACTTAGCACATAGTAAAAGCGATATAATTTATCTACAATAACATGTGCTTAAACCTTAAGACAGGTGCTTTCGGCTTACAAGAAAAAACCCAAACTCCAATCTATCAATTTAAGGAAAAAACAGCAAGGTAACTAGCCCAGAGGTATCAGGAAAAAGTTTGGTACAAATAATCCTGTCAAGTGGAATTTTTCAAAGTATGCCTTCTGATTTGTGACTTGGTAATGTAAACTTTTCAACTAATTTTTCCTCTTCAGCCTTTTCAGGGAGGGCTTGCCACAGTACCTCACTTCTTTGTATATGCCCAGTTGTACAATTTGATTTTTTACCATTAAGTAAAAGTAGCCTTTGAAGACCAGCATTCAACTGTGATTCTTCAAGAGAATATACCTGCTACAGGAATACAGCTGCTTTGCTTTATGCGCACTGATGGTCCAGGAAACTGCTTTTATAAGAAGGTATGTTGCTCTGAAAAGGTAAATGCTGGTCACCAGGATATGCAAAACAATCATGTTTAAAGGCAAGCACAAACTGGCTCACTGCATTAGCTTTAGTAGTAGGAAAGATCATGGTTAAGTTTACTATAGAGATGGCACTGGCTCGAGATCTGCTCTGTAAAACCATACTTTCTGAAAGGCTGTGTCGTACATACTATCTTTAATCCAAGAAGGTACATATCAGCAAATAAGGAGCATAAGACTGTTTAAACATTAGTGGCCTGAAATATAAGTAAAGCTGTCCTCTTTTTAAGTAACTCACAGAGACCACAAAACCAAATTCCTATAGCATGCCCAGAACATTATCTCCTTGTTTCATACATCAAGTATTGTGAAGGACAGGAGGGATTAGTTTGCATACTAGCAAACACTAGTTTGCACCCTAGTTTTATGAGCAAACATTTCAAAATAGGGATTTTTCTCACTGAAACACCTATGTAGCATTTATAACCTTATTTTCAAAGCAAAATACAAACCTACACCAACTATTTGGTAAATCACCACAGATAATCCAGCTGCAGAAATTAAACCCTAGATATAGATGATTTTATTCTTAATTGAGAAGAATTGGGGTAAAGACCTGTAATACATTATTTGCTTTTGAGAAGTTTGGGGCAAGCTTATTGAAGTCAGTCATGTTCTTCTGGAAGAAGAATAAAATTCACATAGTCATATGAGGTTACTGAACTGAAACAGAAATGTCTGAATACTTTAAGGTATTTTTATACATGAGATTACTATAACTGGGTTTTCTCAGAGCAGTACCTCACAATTAAGGGAAAAAAAAGTCTCTGAAGAAAGTACGTAACAATCTTCTGAGATTGACTGGCAGGCCCTGGTTCTTTTTTACCTGACCTGACTCTGAAAATTAATATTTATTGTCCATTGATTCTCCTCTCCTAACAGCAAATTTTAACTTTTTCAAAGACCTATTTCACTTCTTCTTTCTTTTTCTCATCAGAAACCCAACACTTCCAAAACAATTTACTTTAGTAATCAAAACTTCAGCATGAATATTCATGAAAATTAAGGTTATTTCCAGAGTCAAAATATTTCATACTGAAAAATGCCTTATCTGTGAGTAATCTATTATATCCTACATGTTCCAAGCTTCCTGAAACAATTTCTCTGACCTTTTTTAGTTTATTATTCCCAGCTCTTGGTATTCATGCAACCTGCTGCCATGAAATAACACCTCAATAGCTACTGAAACACTGGCTGGATTTGCATAGCTTTTCCCACAGTCTGTGCATGTCTTCATGCATCAAACCCCACCATCTGTCACATCCATTTATCCAATTATACTGCCACACAGGTGCAGCATCCATTCACTGAATATTTGATAGCTCACACACACAAAGTTTTAAATAGATCTTAATTTAGGCAGGTAGTTTTACTAGTTTTAGGGAAGTTCTATATGAATGAAAATAACAACCCTGTAGGGTATTCATGATACTCTATGGTTTCTCAAGTACTCTCTCCCGCTGGAAAGTCATGGTAACATATGATAGCACTGACAATTCTTTCAGTTTTTCCACCACAAGACCACTGATTTACAAGCCTGTTAAAAAAACAAAAAAAACCCCAAAAAACCCCAAACTTCTGAAGGATAGAGAATGCTAAGAATGGAAAGGAAAAATAGATGTGGTTATTTAATCTGAACACCTTGTTTCAGGCTTTTCCTATATTAAAGTCTGAGAATCACTTTTAGATTAGTAATTTTTTTCCAACACAGTTTTAATAACTGAAGTCAAAAAGGGGAAGACAACTGTTTTAGTGTTCAAATATTATATGTTGAGTTGTATCTTTAGCACCTGCATGTTTTTGGTTATATTGGGGGGGTGTGGGGTTTTTTTAAAGAGTAAAATAAAGTTCCCTGCTCTACTTACCAGCTGTTTTTCCTGTTTTTCAAGTGCTGCTCTATCTCTGGTTATAGCCCTCTGTGTACCTCTTAACTCTCGATTTTGCTCCTTTATTATATCTGGAAAGAAAATATTTATAGCTGAGAAAAGTTTCCAATACTACATAAACATCTGCTAAGCACTCTGCAGACATGCAGTATATGTTTGACAGCCTTCCTTCGTTCGGAATGAGCTGCCAGCTATCAGAGAATCGTCAGCATTTCAAATATATGAAATATTAGCAAAATAAAGTTCTACATATACAAAATTATTATGTTTCAGCAGCATAGGCCATATCCCATAACAAAAAGGCTATTTTACCTAGGATGTTTCTTTGCACTATAGCTATAGCAAGAGCCTTAACCACACAGGAAGACGTAGGTACACACACTTTTCTGCAAGTTCAGCCCTAACTCAGCAATAACATATTTGCTGTAATTCCACTGCTTTTCAACAAGTCAGGCTTAACCACAATTGGTAGATCAGCTGAAGAAATCTTATTTATGAGACCTCAGAGCAGTTAAGGAGTTCTCAAGTCCATTAAAACAATGGCGATACTCCTAGATGCAAGCCCTGGATCCTACTCTTCTCTGTCCTTTTCTGGTTCGATGGAGGTTACCCTGCTCCACAAATGCACCACACCTGTGCAGCCCAGCTTCAAGTCAGACTATAAAGCAACAGTGTTTGAACTTTTTCAATTAGGAGTTGCTTAAGAATATTAAGATATAGAATTGGAGGCCTTTATAGGAAATGAAGTTTTCTGACAACTGACGTAGCCAGTAGAAGCTTGAACACTGTCTGTCAGGTGAAACATACCATCCTTCATAGGAGTTTTGTCCACAGTACTGTTTTAAAATTATTTACTGGTAACATCCAATTATTAAAGCAAGTATTATTCACAATATAGGCATCAATCATGCTAGTTGCAATTAACTTTTGTTAGAATTTACAGCATGTGCTTAGGTGTGATTCACCTGGGCAAAGGTAGAGAGCTCTGCATCCTCTGACCTTTATAGAGGAAAGAAGCCAGTACTTTTAGGAAAACATTAATCTACTCCTCATGTACATGTCTACATGGCATTAGATAAACTTTGGGTGGGAGTTTAAAAGAAGCAGACTGTCACATTTGTTTAGGGCAATTTGGTCCAATCCACAGACGTAACATCATTGCGGGGCACTGCCGTTGTACTTACAAAGTTCGAAGCACATGAAAATCAACACAAACAGACAGTTACTAACAGAAATAAAGGCACGAGGGATAAATTCTAGGAACTGCAGCCAACCTTTTCATTTTGTAAGGCTTGCAACAATTTTTCTGCAAACAGAAAGAAGCATCTATGTTCTTCATTCCCACAATCAGAAATGCTGTAAAACATCCATTGCTGAAATTATTTCAACATTAATAGGTTTGAATCAGAAAACCCCCAAACTGTCAGTGGCATTTTAAAGAGGGCATATATGCTACCCCCTCCTACCAGTTGTTTTTGGCCAAATACTCCAAACAGACTCTGTGAAGAGAGACCTGTTTTTATTGTGCTACTACTGCTCCAAGAACTACACATAAAGCATCTTCAGGAGATGCAGACTTTTCAATGGACAATAACGAAAAGCTGAAAAATTACATGGAATACAACACTGAGTTCTTCACAACAGCAACGCAGCCGTGAAAACTGTTCTGAAAACAGTGCTACAGGCAAGTCATTTTGAAAGCAGACAATCTTATATTACTTGCGCATCTGCACTTGCGTAAATGAAAGAAAAAGCTTAATAGCTGCGTACAAGACTTGTCTCTTCTAACTACAATAACTATTAAAAAAATAAATCCTTTAGCATAGAAAGCTGGAGAAGTAAGAGCTTCAAGACGATAAGGAACAAGAACTGTACTTAAGTCAGGTGACAATAAGGGCGAGCACAATGCTTATTTCTGTTGTTTCTGATCTCACACAGCGGCTCAAGCTAAGGATAGCAATAAACCAAAACCAACAGCTATCTGCAGTTTACAGGCCCTTTCATTTGTTTTTGCAAGTGAAGGCCGAGGTGAGAACTTGGTTCTTGTTTCTCTGTGATAACCGACACAAATTTCTAGCTTTACTCCAGCAGGCAGAAGACGACAGGGCATTCCCGATACAGCCTTTTGCCGGTGGCCGCTGCCGTGTGCCACGCCACCGCCTCGCCTCGCACACCCAGGTGAGGAGGCAGCACCTCCATTCCTTGAAACAGGTTGGACAAGAGACATCCACAGCAGGGCCTGACCTGGCCCCTGCAACCCGCCTTGGTCACGGAAGCTTTGTTAGGCGCTGTGGAGCTTCTGGAGAGCGCATATTCCCAATTATAGTCAGACTTCAAGCCCTCCGTGCCCAAACCTCTGGGCCTTCCCCCCTTCTCAGGTGTTGCACCAAAACTGGGAAGAGCCAAACGAAAGACACGTATTCTCCCACGGTGACACACAATTGGTGGATGCACCGCGTCATTTCTGGCGAGCCGTTTTCAAAAGAGGACCCACCTGATTTGGCACAGGGCACCCAACGTGCCAACCCCCCGGCCAGCCTCTGCCCCACAGCCACGCGCGGGGCGCACGGCTTTGGAGAGCTGAGGCAAGAGATCTCTTTTTTTTTTTTTTTTTTTTGGCTTTACTTTGGAGATCGTTATTTCCACGTAAGTTTAAGCGTTTTGTTGACGGGCCGGCTACAAAAACGTCAAGATCCAACTTGTTTTAGGGCCGGCGCACAAAGCCGAGGGAGCGAGCGGTGGCGGCGCGGGAGCCGCCGCCTTCTCCCCGCCGCCCAAACCCGCTCCCGCCGCCCGGCACCGCTCGCCTCCCCCCGCGCTCTCGGCTCCAGCAACTCTCCGCGGGGCCTGTTTTGTTCCCTCGCCGCCAGCGACAGACATTCCTCCTCCTCCACCCACAGGCAGGATCACCAGGGCCCGGCTCCCCCCACCTCGCCCCGGCTCGGCCGCCCCACAAGGCCCGATGCCCCGGAACCCCCCGCCTCGCTGTCCCGGGGGGCCGGCCCGGCCCGGGGACTCTCCCCGCCGCCCCGCCCGGCCCGAGCGCCGCCCGTGAGTCACCCCGGCCGGGCCGTGGCCTCTCTTCTCCCTGGGAGCTCCCGCTCCGCCGGGACACAGGGCCCGAGGCCGCCCCGCAGGCACCGCCACCACCCCCGGGGCTCCCGCTCCCCCACCCCGAGCCCCGGGCCGGGGCCAGCCCCGCGCCCGGGACCGCGCGAAGGCGGGGGGGGGGGGGGGGGGGGGGGGGGGCAGCCGCCCCCGGGCTGCGAGAGGGGCGGCGGGGCCCTCTCCCGAGCGCCGCCCGCCCCGCTCACCGTCCACAGTCTTCTTCTTAAAGAGCGAGGCCATAGTGGACGCCAGACCCGCTACCGCCGGACCCCCCGCCGCCACCTCGCCCGGCTCCCGCCTCCTCCTCCGGTGACCAGGAAGCGGCCGGGCCGCGCAGACCCGCCCGGCTCCGCCTCCCCGCCGGCGAGGGGCGGGGCGGGGCGGGGCGGGGCGGGGCCGCCTCCCCGGCGGCGGCTGGGCACGGGGTCCCTGCCGGGGCTGCCGCAGCACGGGGGGGGGCGAGGGGTCGCTTCTGCCCCCTCGCCGCCCGGGTTTCTCTCCGCGCGTGGGCTTGGTCACCACGAGCCGTGGGAGAGGGGCGCTGCGGGACCCCCCCGGGCGCCGGGGGGACGGGGCTGGGACCCGGCGTGGGGAAGCGCCCCCGGAGGGGCGGGCCGCCGCGGCGTCCCGCTCCGTGCGTGGTTTAGGTTTTCTTCGCGTATATTTAATTACTAAAAATTAATTAACTGCAGCAGCGAAGCGCTCTTCGGGTTCGCCGCCTCTCCCCGTGCGACCACCCGCGTGGGCAGCTGGAGGGATTTGGGCTCGGATTGCAGTTTAAGCCTTTCGCGTGGGGTTAGTTTCTGCCCGTGACGCGTGGAGCGCTGGGCCACAGCACACGCGTGTTGGTGCTGAGTTGTACGCTGAGCACAGAGCTCCAGCAGCCCTTGCAAATACACCGTGGGGTTTGGGTTTTGTTTGTTGTTTGGTTTGATTGTTTTGTTAAGGAACATGCCAGCTTTGGGCCAGCATCCTGAGACATTTCCATGCCTAGGGAGCTGATAATATGTTAATTTTTTTACGATAAGCCTTTTCCTGACGATTATAGCTACTGTGGTGTGCAAGATGTAAGACTATGGAAGAAAGGAATCATAATTTTCTTGTGTTTCATTGTCTAATTACAATCCTTAATTTTTAATAAGATAGTTTATAATGTAGCTGTGGTTTTGTAATTGGTAATTACCTACATACACATCGTGACCTTAGCAAATAAAAAAGGAGATAGAGTAAAAAATACAGAGACATTGGTTTGAATACTAGCTTGATATACCTTCACTTACTTCAAAGTGTTGGGGGGTTTACATTAATTTACAAGGAAAAATAAGTGATTGGGATGTAGTAGTGCATTTTGATAGCTAGGTATAAATTTAACCTGAGGAAGAATTGTAAGTTTATAGTGGCAGTACCCTAATAAACTACACTTTTATAGCCTTGCATGGAAAACCAGTCTATTAGAATATTATAATAGCAGCGTAAAGATGTATGTGGATGTAGGAAGGTACAAACTATGTATTTGGTGTCAGTATTTCTTGATTTTCTGTAAACACTAATTTTACTACAAATATCAAGTTTTCATTGTTTTTCACTGATTGTGCTAGACTGAAATCCAGATCATGTGTGATGACATAGCTACTATGGAGGTTTAGCAATTCACTATGAGATAAGTAAAATATCCTTTACAAGTTTATTTCTGTATATCTGTACTGTCTGTTAGGTCAGATCAGCCAGAGAAGAGTTAGTAAGCAAAACTGAAATCCTGGCTTTGAAAGCGCACAGATGAAGGGGAGGAGAGCGCTTGTAATTTAGTTTCAGTTCCCCACTTTCCTTGGGAGAGAGGTGGGACTCTTAAACTATGGGGTACTCTTAAATTGTGCTAATTAGCTGTGAGACCAGAAAAGCATTTTTCCACAACATTTCTTCATGAATGTTTACTTGTGATGAGGTAAACAAAGATGTCCATAATAGGCTTTATGATTGCAATAAATAAAGTATGTCTGAGCTATTGCTTGCCAAGAATTACTTTTTTTGTGCTATAAACCTGAATGCTGGAATGCTTGATTTGAATTTTTTTGGTAGTAGTGATAGAATAAGAGAAGGCCTTGAATTTATCCTCTAAAAGAATAATGCTTAAACTTTAGTATTTCATTTAAATTATCAATGTTCTGTTTCAGGATCTATTTGCAAATCAAAATATAAAAAGGATATCTTAGTCCTTTATGCTATAGACAAACTTTAAAAATCAACCAGATGGCATAAATAACCTTTCCTTAGTGACTGTATGCAAATATCAGTAGCAAACAAAAGCAGGGACTGTGTATTTTCTGGTTGTGAGATACTGAGTAGAGTTAGACACAAGAACTGGCTCAGAAGGATGTTACAATACCCTGCATTAATTGGAAATTGAGCACCTTCAAATAAAGGTATGAAAAATGGATTTGGAGAATAAAAGCAGATTAATGGCAGTAGCTGGTATCTGTTCCACAGTTATACTTAGAAAAAGGTGGTATGTGTGTTTGTTTTTATACATACATATAAGCTACTCTAACATTGGTCCATTGGAGTATTTAAGTAGATTGTGAATTTAAACCAGGTGACTAGGTTCAGTCATGTTCAGGTACTCAGATGAAATGACTGCTATGAGGAGAGCCTTACAAATCAGAGCTTTTGGGTACTGTTCTTTAGAATTGTAGATAAAGAGGCTGATTTGGAAAAATACTTTTCTGGTATACTCTCAGGAGAAAAAGGATAGATGAGCTTTCAGGCATATGAGTCTTGAAGAACCTCTCAAGGTTATGCTTTAAATCTTTTCAAGCTTTCTAGCTATATCAGCTGGTCTAATTAAAGTTATTAGTCTTCCATATCTCCCTTTCTAGGGTGAGGGAAGTATTGCAAGCAAGCTTTCGCTGACAAGCTAAGGCACACCATCTTGGGATGCTTTATGGATTATGACCCAAATTCAGTACTCTGTTTGATCTATTCTGGGCCTGCCTAATTTCTTATCTGCAGGTATAAGGAAATTAAATGAGGCCACGTGTAGTAAAGAATGTAGTGGGTACATTGAAAATTACAGGACCCTGAATGAGATAAATGATCAAAGACTGGTATAAATGTATTGTTATACGAAATACAGAGCACTTAATGGGTAAAATAAGGTTATGAGGAGAAGTGTCTGGGGCCTCAGCAACTGACTGTCTTCCAAATCCTGAAATAACTGAGGACAGTAACAGGACAGGACTCAGTAACGCTTTACTTTATCCTGGAGGAGCTTCACTGAAATCAGATGACATGGCACTTATACACGTAAGAGTTTGTGAGATCGTGCTCTAAAGGCTCTGCGACCTTTTTGTATGAAGGCAGACTGAGTTAAGAGGAGGACAGAAAGGAAAAGGCAGGGGGAGAATTGCAGATCCTAGAGAAGGTCAGGCTGTAGTTCAATTCGACACTTGAATTTCCTTCCCGAGTATGAATCTCCTGTGGCATAGGCTGAATGTTATGGCAGCGTTAAAATGTATGGCTCTGCTGAAGTCTGCGTGTGTGTCACGATGTTACGTCTAATTGCATTCATTAGTGAGGGCGCTTGGAAATTGGAGTATACTCTCCAGGGTGGGGAGGTGATGGCAACACACTTGCTGGGCAAAAATGTGAGATGCTGGGAAGAGGGCGAGGCAGAAACAGGCAGGAGAGGATTGGTGGCCGTCACAAAAGGTGTGTGTGGAAATTTTTGAAGAAGAATAAGGGGTTAGAAACAATAAGTGAAGAAGGCCTTAGAGGAGAGGATAAAGATGGAGAAGGGCAGTGGAAATGGTGCAGCTCTAAGATGTTGGAGGTTCCCTCTGGTACTGTGGTTCTGAAATTCATTTTCTCTGCCCTGTTCACAATTCAATCACTCATTTATGTGTACAAGTATATATAAATATAAAAATGGTTTATACAGTGCATCTCGCCCTCACCTTGCAGAATAGACAACTTACCAGCAACTTTTGTGGAACACTCAAGAATTTAAAAGTACCTCATTCATAGGAGGAAAGGGGGTTTCACATCTAGCAAATACACAGGTATGAAATAACACTTAGACACACTGAAATTAAAATTATGAGATAGATTTCATAAGGGAAAAAATTGTAATCATCTACAAATAACAGCAGTAGTGAATTACTGTCAAGTAAGAATAATGCCAAAATAAATGAGGTTGCAGTGGGAAACAAGGCAGCTACAGAACAATCAGTGAATTATCCATTTGGAAATTTTTCATAATTCTAAACATTTTAATTTTCCCAAAAAAGGATATTTTTCATTATATTTAAAATACTGAGGAATGAGGTGAATCTGAAATAGCTGAATGTCTTGCTTCCCCTCTGTTCACAATTTAAGTTGAATTGTGCGTGTATGTGAAGCAGAGTGTATTGTTGGTTTTACAATTAACTTAATTATTTCTTTCTTTCTCTGCCTAAAAAGGATCAATTGCCACTAGACTGCTACTCATCTATGCCTTACAGCACACAGGGTATACAGGATAGAGAGAAATACACATTTAGGTGTGGAAGCATGGTTTGATTTAATTTGTTCTTGTCCAGACTGTGTGACATCTATGGAGATTGAAATTGTCTTTTTATGTGAGAGGGGCTTTGTGATATGTATGTTTTATCTGATAATCCATCGAATTCACTTGACAGGCTCCTGAGGAATTAAAAAATGGCAAGAATGAGTTAAAGAAATTCTGTAGTATCTTGAATGTGAAAAGTTACTGTAGAGTTTGTTGAAGAGCTTTTATCGAGCAGCAATGCTGAACGTTTAAAGAATGTCTTCATCTTAATTTTGTACTCCTGAATTTACTTATGAACAATTCTGGAGGAAAAAAAACAACCAAACAAAAAACAAACAAACAAAAAAACCCCAAACAAACAACAACAAAACAAACAACAAAAAAAAAAAGGAAAAACAAAAAAAAAGAAAAACCCAACCATGCTTAATATGTGTAAGAGACTAGGCAAGTAATTTTTTGCTGTTGCATGGAAACAGCATTTCCCTCCTTATGGAAATCTGGTTTTAATGATTATCTTGATTGGTGATAATAAGATACTTTTGAGTTGCAGACTACATCTTTTATAACCTTCACATCTGATTGCAAGGTTCTTCCTTGGTGAAAGAGCAAACACTTTATTTTAAAATAGTGCCATTACTTTGTACAAGCAGGTTTAGTTTTACTTCGGTAATCAAGTACAGTGGGACATCACATTTCTGTAGGGCATTCATGAAATCAAGGGTTATACTTTTAAAAGCATTTGCTTGCAAATATCATATCTTTAAATGACTTTGCCCAAGGAGATAAGGAAATCCAGGCTGGCAACAAAATAGGTAA